ATTGAGTATCAAACATATCAATTTCTAAGCTCAGTCGGACAATAACTGTTGTCTCGAAGTGTCATTTCGTATTACTGGGTCAATGTTCATAACATGTCTAGATGCAGAATTAAATTAATGTTGAAATCGAATTTCGTTAAAAAACTTTAGCGAGAAAATAGAAATGAATCCTAAAGTATGGTGGAGGACTCTATTTTGCAAGTTAAGAGAGGTTTTACTTGCTCTGGTTACAGTTAACCTGTTAATGTTATAATTGAACACTGAACAGGCCGTTAAACTCCTCGTTACCACGTAATGGGACCAATTACAGTCAATTACAGTCCAATTACAGTCCAATTACCGGCCAATTACCGACCGATTACACGAGATTACAAGGCCATTATCACACCTGTTAACTGCAACTGTTTCCTACCGCCTGCCCTAAAACCACTTTACACAATATGTTAACTGATCGGAGCTCTGCTGTTTTCAAGCTGGAGAGATCTGCAGATAGCTAGTTTTACCTGGAGGTGTGGCTGAAACTTAATTAATGTTTAGATTTACTAACTAAATGCTTGTTGTAAAACATAATTTGTACAAGATTTGGACAGAATCCAGGAGGATGGTTCATTTGTTTATATCGAGCTGGACCTTGGTAATTTTAAGGGCTTTTAGTTGCAACTTTCAAGTCACAAGATAGGTGATCTCAGCTAGCTAAATGATGAGATGATCACTTATTTCGTCTGAAGATGTTAGATCATCATAATTCTGAAGCCCTAAGATCAGACTTTAAGACTTTCTTTTAACCAGCAACATCTTGATTTCGACTCTTTGAGTTATCACCTATTTTATGTGAACATTGGATACGCCGTGTTAAAGTATAAAGTGTAATTCATTGCTCTGTTCATGTTCCTCCGAACATATATCAGGAGCCAACTTAAAATCACAAGACTGGTACACTCAGTCCCATTTTTAAGTCGCTTGGAGAACTGGTATCACTATTGGTCTGTAACCCTGGTGACTGTAACCCTGGTGACTGGTATCACCATTGCATTGGACTGTAACCGTGGTGACTGTAACCCTGGTGACTGGTATAACTGTTTGGTCTGTTAGCCTCACTTTCTATTATTATGGGAAGTAGGCCTATCGTCTCGGAAATCTAATGCAAGATCACGTGACCCTAATAACACTCCATCACAGGTGGAGGGAGGTATGAAGGGAAGTCAGTGATTGGATGTGAAGAAAGGATAAGACTATAAATAGTGTAGGGGCAGTTTGGCACAGTGGTGTGTACAGTTCGGCTCCGTTTGTGGAAGCTAGGGAGCCTACTTGACTAGAACTACTGTTCTAGTCTACTGTTCTAGTACTATTGTACCATGAGTACTCAATTGTAGTGTTTTAGGGGGCCCACTATTGTTCCTCCAGTAATGAGACAAGAACACACACACACACACACACACACGAACGCACATGACGTGAGGATAGTCTCCTTGAATCCTTGCCAGGAAAATATTATACTTTTGGTTGGTTTCGTTACATTTCAGTTTTTTCAACACGTAATGTAATATATAGGTATTAGGTACTGACAATTTAGTTTTTTATTAACTGTGTTAAGTTTAAACAAATAACTTAGCTCTTAGTGACATATTATTGATTTTAGAGGAGACTGTTCCATCAGTATTATTATGGCATACTTGACATCTATACTTCTGCCAGTATTAATTTCATTTCCCTTAACAAGTGTAATATAAATAGTATTTAAAAGGGTTTTAATTTCACGTCCAAGAGTATCTAATTATACTACTTTATCAATAATTTAAAGAAGTATTAAATATATTGTTTAATTAATCTAAGCTATATTTTAAACATCAGTACGTGATCAACATGGTATCACAAGTCTCCTTCTTATTTTTACACGCTACCAATTCCCATTTCCCATCGATAATAGTTACACTAATAGCTAATGTACTGTAGTAGTGTACTCGTAGTCTACTGGAATACTGTTGCCCGCTATGGCACCCCTCCAAGAATCTCAACATAGGTGACATAGGTAGGTGACTGTAATGATCAAAGTAACTAAAGTAGAGTAAAATTCGCATCCAACTTGAAATTTTCTCAACACTCACCGTACTGATTGGATGCTAACTGCTCAATAGTAGATGTAAGTTACCTACTTACCAGTGTAAAGCAAACATGAGTACTTTAACTAATTATTTGAGTACTGCTGAATGTTACACTAACACCATACCTCAATAGAAAGATCAGATAAGTGCAGCAAAATTAGGAGAATATGGGATTTGGGGCTTGATTGCGGCATTTTAATGCAAAATGTGCACGGCAAAGTGTGGTGAATCTTCTTCACTTAGACAGGCTTATCTGCACTGAATTATAAAATGTTACATAATACATGACATTATTGTAGACATTAAAGAACGTCCAAGCACCATGTTTCCTGACATTTCCAGATGTATTCCAGAATTACACAGATGAAAGTTATGATAATTTTAATGAGTAGGACTGCACTGTCTCCCTTGAGGTTGGCACCGTCTGCGCTAAACATTTTTACGCTCCTCATAATAATTGACGCCTTACATTTTAATCTTACAACAAATTTTATTTCAACATACTATGGTTAAAAGCTGCAATACTTGCCACCTACAATATCTGTAACCCTGGTGACTATAACCCTGGTGACTATAACTCTACTTACCAACTACAATATCTAATCGTGACTAAGGTTTTGCTAGGGATTGCAATTAACATTGATGAGTAATTGTTCATTTGCAACCTTTCACCCTTCTTTGTTTTGTATCAAATATCAATTAGTATTTTAATTCGCTGCATTATCAGTTCACCATGCGATATTATTGTATTGATAATGGACATTATATTAGATATCTGGAGGACAAATTCTGTTTTTTCGATGTTTATCTCGTCATCGAAATATTACGTTGATTCTAACCAGTAACCATAGTTAAATGGACATTCCACATTCCACACCCGCCACACTAATGCATAGTCTCTGTGTCGCAACACTCCAGTACTTGATGAGAAGGGTGTTTCAATTTTATCTGCAACCTCCCGGACAAATTGCGGTTTATTCAAGCTTAAACTGGTAAATTCAGTTTCATCGTCACTCCCTACTACACTATCTACACTTTCTACTACACTGTTCATTTCTTTGAAGCTACTGAGATTCTGAAAATCGTCATCTAATCATCAGATGTTATTACCAACTTCTTATCTACAGTTTCTATAACAATGAGTATTGGCTTTGTTCATACAGAACATTATATGAATATGACGTCACATATCATGATAATAAGAACTCAGCTTAACCTGGGGCGGGACAGATAAGTCAAATTTGGTGGAGAAGATTGACACTCCATCTCTTCACCAGAATTTAAAAAGACTAATCAAATCAGAGAATAAATCGTATTAGGAGGTGGGCTACAATTGAAGGACAGATCCTTCAATGCTGCTGAGATATGATTATCATTAACAATAAGTTTAGTTAAGATCTAATCAGTCAGTTTCCTAATTGATTAGCCTTACATTGTAATAGCTTGACATTAATGATTATTTGCCAGGTCAGTGTTACACTACAAAGTAACTAAATTAATTGAGGATATAATATTTAAGAAGGGGGACAGTAGTTCAGTATACAGTCAGTTTAAATCTGCTAAAGACAGTTTGTAGCCTCCCCCACCCTCTCCTAAATTCTACAAGATTACTGTCCAGTTCGTTAGTCAGCATTTGGTTATCACAGGAACACTTGTGGTTATCGCTCAACCACACCAGTCTTCATCTCAGACCACTACATTTCCCAGCCTCCACCATTTACGTGATACAATTTGGGCTGGCCCCAAATTCTCCGGATTCCTCGGTCTACGAGGTGAGAAATTCCGAGTGCTTGCCCTGATTACATATGTGCATGATAAAACTCTCACACCGACACAACCTGCTTGTGCAACTGCACAGTTAGTAGCCCTGATAGCGAGCTAATTGAAAACTCTGTCTCTCACATGATTTTAATAGGAGTATTTTTACAGTTGTTTGAGAAGTGCAGTGGTGTAATTGTACGTATTATTTACAGTGCTGGTTGTGGGAACATCTTGAAGCTCTACTCGTGGGAATAAGAAGATGTAATCACACTCAGCTGTAATAATAATAATATACTGTTATATAATGCTTTTGGACACGAAGGGAAACACACAATGTGAGGCTTGAAATCTTCGTAAAACTACATCATTAGACCCTCAAATTATTTGTTTGTAGTGTTGAAAGTATTAAATAATAATACTGATAAGGCGGGTTTGTTGTGAGCTTCAGATTACAGGCACATGAGTTTAAATATATGACAACAACTTCTGCTGCTCAGGTTTGTTGTAATATAGTAATAAGTTCAATTTGGATTCACTATAAAAGGAATAAACGAAAAATACAATGCATTGATCTGACTTTACACCCTGACCTGGGTCTACTATAATATCAGATACAACTGTAAAGGATGTTGTGTAGGGAAAAAGGGGTTTATGAAAATAAATATCAGTCATTGACTAAAACCTAAGCGTAATTTGAAGCTTCTGACTAATAAAAATGAAAATATCCTTGTATTCTTGTATAATCATAGTCCCCCACTCTCTCTCTCTCTCTTTAAAAAAGTAACAAGATACCGAGCCAGAGTGGCTGTTTACTTTGTATCGCTCTGAACTGTCCTGCAATTAGTCCAGTAGGAGTACTTAACATTCGCTGCTACTTCCTCCTGACAGTACTGGTACTGGGCCCTCTTGACAAATTCATCAGAACACTGACTGAGCAGGACACTTAATTCCAGAGTTACAAAAGCAATGGCACCCGGTAATATGGCTCAGGGTCATTTATTACTGGCAGTCATCAAGTTCAACATGGATTTTCCTCTTCTTCTCCTCACCATGACGTCATGACAATGTGCAATGTGATGTGAGTTAGAAAAGGGTGAAAATCATTGCAATAATATTGCTGTATTTGTAACAACTCACATATAAAGTAGTAATTTTCACCGATGATGTAGTCTTTAAAGAAAGGGTCTCGCACATCGTGCTGTACTATTAGGGCTGTGTAGATATCTCTGCCTCGTGGAGTGTCCCGAGTGCAGTTTAATAAACTGTGCTGGTTCATAAGTGGCTCACAACTGAAATAGAGCCCGGGCTGTTACATTTATTTATAAAATGTTTATCATGATGGTTATAATATCCTTAATGAAGTGTAAAAATCAAACTTCGTTTTAAATATTCGCTTGGTGATGACACCAAGGTCTTTTTTCAAAACGTAAGTTACCTACTTATCAGCCCAAACCTGGCCTAACATTACGTATTTTTAACGAAAGTCACTATTAATAATCTGTGATATCAAGTTTAGATTTACAACAATAATTTCACTTGTTTTACTAACTCACCTATCATATTCCTCTTCAGATACTTCAAAGAGGTTATCCACTGTATTATTATGACACCTAAATTCTACTGCACTACCGTATAACACATTTAGCACTCTGGAGGTTGAATAATATGGTAAAGATTAGAACATAATCTGATCAAATCAAGATATGTATGACTAATGATTATAATATATAATTATTTTCATATTCTTAAAATACATACGAAGATTTATGGAAAAAAATCGTTAACTCCAAACTCTGGAATAAAAAAACGGAACAAAATTATATTGTATCTTGTCTTAAATACTTTAAAACAAAAATGATCAATAATTACACTTACTGGCCGTTTATATTTTTCTCTGACCAAAAGATTTTGACGTCTGATGATAAAGACTGAAGAAACAGTAAAAATGTAGCTAAACACTTTAGCCAACTCATCTGGTTTGCATGCTATTCTGGGATTGTTCTCGTTATTAATTTTAGTATATATAATATTAATATCAATTAAAATAAATTTTTTTTGTGCACATACAGAATGAATGGTTAATAATACAGTAAAGGTACAGTAAACTCAAAATTTATCTTTATTCGATCTTTATTGGAAACTTATTGTTCCATTAATATATTAGTATCCCCAAATTACATGCTGAACCTTAATTAACTTTTCTTTGATTAATCTTACAGTTAGCCTTTCTCCTTCTAGAAATAGAGCAAATAGACAGTCAGAAGCCTTGGTGTAGACATTTACTGTCTAGATGTGCAGTCACAGGCTTGGTGTAACATGCTGATCAGTATTTTTCTCTGGCCAGCTCAGGACAGTGTTCTATGGACCCATCTGTCATTATTATTAGATGAAAATTGGCAAATACCAACATCAAGGGTGTGTACAACAAGATCAGTGATTTATCCCAGAAAATAAGTAAACTAACAATCTTGCATCAAAATTATCCTGAGGGATAAGTCCACTAAACTATATGTGTAAAAGAGCTCAAAATATGGTAATCAGAAAGACCTGTGCACTAGTTATTTAAATAATACAATAGATAAATATTAATTGTATTTCTGTTAATATCTCACTTTTCACAATATTATCTTATATTTGATCCTTCGAACAGCTGTTGAGCAATGAAACGCAAACATAATCTTAGCAAAATGAATATATTTCTTTTATCTTCAGCATTTAATCAGTCACATAATCTCAAATTATTTGTTATATAGTAGTGTTGAAAGTATTAAAACTATTTCACAATATTAACTGCACAACTAGCAGAGAAAGGGCAGTAGAAGTTTTGCCAGTGCCTCCTTATATAGATAATGTATAATTTTCTTTACACCTAAGTCCTAAATACAGTCAGAAAGCAGATTGGGTATGTTATAACAATCTTCATAAACAACAGTTAGGGAACATAGCCATAAAACCTTACTTTGGTAAGAAAACCTTCTAAAGGATAATATACTACGTATTCTGTGTAAAATTATCTTTATCCCGGTTGTTGCGACTAGTGAAAATGCTCTTATTAAGGAAAGGAGTTTACTCGACGTTTCAATGTAACTACATCGTATTCATGATCTAAAAACAAGTGTTAAAAATTCAAAACGTAAAAAACATATATCTGAGGCAAAATTTGTGTACACTAATTTATTTTTAATCAATCCGGATTTTACATGCGGATTTTACATACAATCCGGATTTTACATAATATACTACTAAACATTAAGTACATAGCGATTATTTGTGACTAAATCATCTTTTGACTGTCAAGATCAAGAGGGACTTGGTGATCAAAATCTAATAAATCTATATCGCACTACTTAATTATGAATAATGCAGTACTCCATATTATTATGTCCAAAAAGGTAGTATAATTATGTGCAGTAAATTGTTGTAAAGTAAGGGTAGATTAGATGGTCAAGTTCGGAGACAACCTGTACATAAAATCAGTCACTAATTACACTCATTTCACTGCCATAAACGGTAAAATTAATTATAATTCCTCTGACAGTCCAAGGGGTACAGGCTCTTCAGATATTATACTCCTAACCTTTCTATAATGATATCTGGGTCCAAAATTCAAATAACTCAACCTTGGTGGAGACAGTGGCCACCTGAAAATTACAAAAATAAAGGAGCTGTAAATCACTTTAAAGGAGCTGTAAATCACTTCAAATATTTACTCCAAATTTCACAATTTAAAGTTACGTAAGACAGGTGGGTACTCAAAAAGTGCTGGTTGAGCAGGTTTGTCTGCTCAACACAGGTGGAGCAGCTTACTGACTACATGAGCTAATATAAGTGACTAGAACTAACCCTCTCATGCTTTTTAATTGCTCCAAAGTCCTAATATTTAATATTATGGGTTATACCAATTATATTTCATAGAATAGGATCCTCAGAATCGGCTCAACCGAGGTGGAGACAGCATAACATGCAGTTCAAAATCTGTTATTCTGTAGTTTAGGAGCTGTAGAGTGACTGTGGCAGTCCATTTGCAATACCAATGATTCTAAATCATCTACCAACTCATATTACAAGGCATCCTTGCTGAAAAGTACACTCAACATAGGTGGAGACTCAAATTTGGCAAATTTTGGCGTAAATTTGACCTCAGAAGTCAAGGTTCTCCACCACGGTTGAGTGGTTGATGGCTTGTTTGATGAGTTGTATACATGTTAAAGGGTCACCCAATGTTATTTCTTCCAGAAATCAACTGCCAAAGCTCAACTCAACCCGGTGGGGCCAGTTTTAATGCATTTTTTAATGTTTTAATGTTTAATCAACAATTTCTCCACCTTGTTGAGCACCTTTTCACAACTTTGATAGTTTTTTCATTTGCTAGAACACTTTGCTTTAAGACAGAAGGGATAACAGTTTTATGATCCCCTACAGTAGCAGTTAACAGAGCAGATTAGAATTAGTGATAAAACCAATGAATTTAGGCATGTTTGACAGGCTTTTTACTGTTTCTTAATCTCCACCCTGTTGAGCGTCAATGGAAAAAACAAAATTTAACGGGAAGTAGAAAAGGCCGAGACGTAACTTTCTAGCTAACCTAGAACTCTCTAAACCTTTCTCCACCCCCGGTTGAGCAGCTTTGAAAAGTGCATTTAATTTCTCCACCTCGGTTGAGCACTTAAATAAAATATTGATAAAACCATCAGATTGCAAATTTGATGTAGTTTGTGTTACCAATAACCTTTTCCACCTTAATCAAAAGTTTCTTCAACCAGAGCCAGTCTCCACCTTAAATCTCCACCTTTCAAGGGTTTGTTTAAAACCACCTGTATCTGCTCAACCGTTCAACCTTTTAATTTATTTTTTTTACTCAGAGAAAGTCCTGAAAAATGTCTTGTCAGCCATATAATCAGGGAGTTTCATTCTGTGTTGAGTTGGCTCCACCACACACTTCTAAAAAAGTAAAAAATGTACAGGTTGTCTCCGAACTTGACCAGATTAGATTAGATTAAGAATAATGACATAAACATCATCACTAGTTTTAAACATTCTTTCTGATTTCCTCATTATCAGAACTGTGAACATTTCACAGCCTTCGTCATTAAAAAACAAACAAATTCTATAACTAACATAAATGTCATAATTTATTTACATATAAAAAGTTTAAAAAGTTAAAAACCGTTAATTTAAAAAATAAATAAATAAAAACAAATTATGTAGTCAATGCTCATCTTTTTACGACACAGATAAACAATGAAATGAAGCATAAAAAATAAACAGAACAAGGGAAGGAATAGCCACTGAACCTTGGTACAATTAATGACACAGGACTTGGCATTTAATCCTCCAGCTCCTGTAGGACTTGGTTACTGGTGTCCAACATTGTGATACTGATAATCTTTCTAGGCTGCATTTTATGTAGTGATTGTATAGTCAACAGAATGGTGTAGTATAGTACTGTGTTTACAGTACACTACAATGTAGATGTAATCAAGGCCAAGGGGTATCCTAAGAAGTTTGCTGATCTTTTGGCAGAGCCCGCCCTCATTTAACCCTTTCTCAAGCTTCCTATCATTCAGCCGATTCAACCGAGGAGATAATGCACAGATGTTTAATTTTGCATAGATCCAATTCATCCTTAGCTCCTCCCTAGACTAGTAGGTGACACTGGACCTTATGTGCAGAAGGCGGAAGCTCTAACCAGTAACCAGTGACATATTCTTACGGATCCTTGAGGTAGTTTAAGATGTCCATACAGTAGCTGAGACAAGTGTATTTTTTCATGTGGTAGATTAAATTAAATTAAATTGTGATGTGCACATGTATTTTCCTATACATGCGCACAGCATAATTCAAGGAATCTTTTCCACATGTTTAATGTCTGGGACTCATCTAATTTTTTTGTGCGAGGGGAAATCTTGATGATATAAATATGTGGCTGTGAAGAGATCGTGCTAAATTATATAATAAAACTGCCAAATCGTGTAGAGTCATGCCGCGGCCGTCCAATTTATACTTCGTGAAAATTCGTGATATTGCTGTATACATTTTTTATCCGTGCTTTTCATTCATACAAAGTTATGACAAATTCTTCTTGTTACCATTTACGCAAACAATATATAATACAATTAACACACCTGTTATAATAATAACAATAATTCTATACAGTTACATAATTGAAACAATTATGGCCCCTTATTGTGTAGTGGGCAGTAACACCTGTTTTAGGAATATAGACAGTTTCATTGAGTTTTCATCACTACAGTATATGGACATGGTATCGATATTAATTTTTAAAAACTGATGCTGCATTTACACAATTAGTAACAATTTTGTTAAAGTTTAGAACCTACCGAGCCACACACTGATTACAAATTGAATTTTGGTACCAAGTCTGTATAGTATGAATATTTAAAACAACTATAATTTACGGTTATCATCCATTAAAAAATTTTCTGTCAAAGATAATTTATGGTACTAGTCAAAATGATCCAAGGTACAAAATAGTTTATATTATGGCATGTATAATGGTAGTAATAGTGAACAGTAGTAATGGTATACTACTCAAAAGCATTTTAAAAACTTCGAATCAAAGTATAATTAATCATTTTGCACGGCGCGGCGGGCGACAACATCCCTTATCGTTAATGATAAGAAGTGTACATTGATAAATGATGCAAAGGGTTTGAATTTAAGTTTGAAGTTTGTGAACCCATACCATGTACCAGGCCTTTACTTGTCATACGTTGTCATGTATGAACCGCCGCGCACGAGTGCGCGGCTCCCCTGTATCCAAGAAACGATTTAGTTTCCTTTTTAGTCACCATTTAGTGAAACGACAATGGGGTCACGATGTGATATATACAAGCCTTCGCCTAACTCTATGTGCTTTTTCGCCACTGTTTTCTTGAAATTGTTGTTTTCTTGGCGCGCGCTTGTTTGTTGTTTTGCCAAGAGGCAGGCGCCCGCTACTGCAAAGGTAAAAGCTTTGGATAGAGCAATATACAGTTTTAAAACCATAATAATTTTACCGCGCTGTATGTTGCTTGTATGTTATACGTCCCTATTTAAAAAAGTATGAATTCAATATTATGCGATCTGTTAGGAATTTTTACTTTAATTTATTTTGAGCGCCGCTGCTTTAAATGTGACATGAAAAAAGATCAAACACGCACGCGCGCGCGTCTTCATGCATGTGTTTTCCCCTTTCACGTCGCACTTTAAACTATTCCCATAATTTTTTACATTCTAGCTATGGCTTATTTTGTATTTTGGAAATTAAAAATGAAAACTTCCGATTTCTTGCAAAATTTTTGCCAGCCTAGCCTTTAAAAATTACACAAATTTTTTTAGCCGAGGCAAAAATTTTAAACAATGTAGATTATATAATATGTAGAGGGTGCACGATAAAAATAAACTTGCTCGGATTTTAAAATTTTTTGTACCATTGTTTTCTAGAGACTGTGAGAATTTTCACGATACCAAATTTGTCGTACCTTTTTGGAAAGATCAGTGAGTTTCGCCTAGGTGCCATATTTGATGGTGCGCGGCTTTTCGAGCAAAATTAGCTATAAAAGTCGCGTTATTTGACCAAATTCGTTAATTTTTGTCGTATTTTTTGGCGCTCCTACTAAATCGCTCGCCCAAATTTTAAGAACATTCTTGTGAAAAGGCCCTTTGGGTGTGAAATTGATCTGAATCGGTGTATTTTTGGACGCTGATTCCGAATCACCCCACATGACGTAGGGTAAAAATGCTTCCACGGAGA